TACTCATCCAGTACCAATTGCGTTGGCTTGGTCACGTACTGCGCATGCCGACGCACCGCCTTCCACGTCGCGCATTATTTGCACTTCCTGGACGCGAATAAAAAAGAGCCGCGGCGGACAACCGATGATCTGGAAAAGGAGTATGAAGATCCTAACTTCGTGTCTAGTGTCAGTCGGATCTGTGCGTCTTCCAGGCTGGGGACCACGTGAAGCAGAATCCCAATGGCTGGAAGTATTGGAGGATATGGCCCGCAATAGGAGTGAGTGGCGTCAATGCTGTTCTGCCATCTCTTCATTCTGTGATTTTTAATGTTGAACAAAACATGTAAACAGAAAAAACTCAAAACGGCTTATGTGAAACGGTGACACATTTTTCTAACATTTTATTCTCTCCTCGTTGTACATTACATTCTCCTATCCATACCACCATGGTTCGGATGGCACATTTGTCTGTTTACAGACTTGTGTATAAATATAATATAATATGCAAATCAGACGAGACTTATTCACAGTTAACTCCACAAGGAAGGCATTCCCCGATGCGCGACTGGCGGACGCGCCGATAGCGTACAGCTCCGCCTGCGGACGGTCAACAGCAAACCAGCATTGAGAATGAAAATTACATGCACGGAGGGTGGATATCTTTTACTCGGGATGTGGATTGGGTTGTTCTCCGAGCTGTTTAGCGTGGTCACACACGCTTTATCTCCAGGCTACGCGACATCATCAGCGCAGTTAACGGTATCACTACCAGATGCAAGTGGTCATCGACCGATTACTGCTTTGCATTCAATGAATTCACGTGGGTTTATGGTGGAATCGATGGACGGGTGCTATACTCCCACAACCAGCCAACCGCATGGAATAATTGAAAAAGCAAATAAAAATAGGCCAGAGATGTAGGTTTATTGCCGGAACATACAAGCTTGCTAAGCTAACGGGCACCCAAAGGAAGGTTAGCTAGAGAAAGAAAAAAGCGAATGTTCCAGGAGTGAAAGGACGCAGCATTCGGGTTGCGTTCCAAAATCACGTGTGTCTAAGCACAGGTGGTCAACATGCGACAAACTAACTGTCTAATTTCCCTGGGTACAGATGAAACTATAATTTGGTAATGTTTTTTACATCGTACACGGAAATCTCCAGGTCGCTACACAGCCCCCTCCTAGAAGGGGAACCTTGAGGGACCCTTCGAGCTGCGGGAAGAGGGTCCGTCATCAGCCAGCCTTCTGCGGACCAGGTGGTGAAACTTGATGCAGATGCTGCGGGAGCACTTGCGTGATCGGACCCGTGTCTTCCCTACGGTTGCTAAAAAAGGGGAAACCTAATGTTCGATCACACAGCGTTTGGCCACGTGATGTCCAGCTATTTTGAGTTCAAGGATCGGAGATATGAAACGAAGTAACAAGAGAGACGTCAGGCACATTCAACTGACCACAACAAACGAACAGCGGCAGAACTTACCGAGTGTGATAACGGGAAATAACACGCAAACCAGTTCTTGCTTTCAAAAGCTTTCGTTCTTTTTTCACTTTCAAAACACTTTGCTGTTTCTTCGTTTTGATAGGTGAACCTAATGGAACTGTTACTTTCAAGGACGTGCCAGAAATATCGAACGTTAGAATAGACAAGCAGCATTAGGCGACTGGACGAGCTGCACTTGAATTCCTCGGGCTGTAAGTGTCTGGAATAGAAAGCAAGTGGTTTCCAATATCCATCGGTCAGTTGCTGTAGAACGGTGACAATGACGGTGTCCGATGCGTCAGCAACAACGCTGAGCGGAGTGCTCGCGTCAAAGTGATGATGCACAACGGCTTAGGCCAAGGCTACTTTACTCGCTTTGGATGCTTCGGTGGCAGCAGCGGTCAGCTTCACCTGGCCGCTTTTAGAGCTCCGAAGTAGTTCGGTTAGCGGACTTAGCAAGTCGGCACCGTATGGAAGAAACCGTCGGTACTAATTGATCATGCCGTTAAAACGGCGGATAGCGGAAAACGTAGTCAGGATCAGAAAGTATGATAGCGCGGACTCCAGCGTCCATGAGATGTCCAAGAAATTCAACGGCTTGCTGTTGAGAAACCCATTTGTCGGCATTTACAATGATGCTTCTGTCGGCTAATCTATCGAACAGGATCTTGGGATGTTCTGTGTGCTGTTCTCTGCAACTGAAATATGATTGTTGTAAGGGTAGACGAAATCTAGACCTCTAGTTACCACCTTATGAGAGTCCCCGCGAAACGAATATGCACCTCAATGAAAAAGGCATACGATGCTGCAGAGCTATACATGCTTATGTCCACAAGACCACTGCTTAAGTGTTCATTAAAGACACCGGTGTCGAAGCAGTGCACGTCTCACTGTCTATACCCATTCGTATGTAGCTGCGGTACAGCTGTGTTGGGTGCACTGAGCAAAATCTAGGTGTCCGGATCAATGAACATATTCCGAAATGACTCCGCAAACGGATGGAACTTGCGACGGTTTCACCGGGTGAATCAAATAGCAAGACTGCCTCAGCGTTTGCTAAACACCGGTCATCAGACAAACCCGAAGGAATCATTCATAGTCATTGCGCGCACCCAAGGTCCTCACATTCTCAGACTTCTCGAGGCCATTGTTATCGATCGACAGCACCCAATGCTCTGCGTTCAAAAACAGCTGACGGTGCCGCCAAGCCGCTAATTCTATCGAGCTCCAATTTGACTTACGTGATCTTTGTTTGGTTTCTTTGTTATTTGCGTGTACGTGGCCGATGAGAATGCACGAAGTGACAGTGTCACCCCACAACATACGGCTTCCGATATTCTTATTTTGAATTATAAGGGGCAATTCCGAGTTATGAATCGTTACAAGGTCTAAGATACGTTGCGAGGACCAAAAGGCATGCATAAAATTCGAAGAGCCCAAGCAGTGTGATTACGGCAACTTTCGGTATATCTTCCTCGGCGACTGGGATTAGCGCGTACTAGACCGATGTTCAAGAACACAACGGTGCCATGTAGGCTTATCGTGATCTCCTGAATGTGAGGAATACGATAACGATCGGGAACGGTTTCGTTATTCAACGCGCGGTAATCGCCACATAGACGCAGGTCTAAGTTTTTGGTCAACATTTAAAGCAGCGACGCCAATGGGCTCAAGCATATGCTTGAATTCTGCACGGACAACGTTCAGTTTGTCGGGGTCAGTTGCCTGGTTTTAGCGAATACAGGCGGACCTTGGGTAACGATGTCATGCTTCGCAGGATCAGTAGAGAATAGAGAAAAAATTCCGGGGGCATTCCAGCCGGCTATAATGTGTGGTCCTCTGCAAGTGGTGACCTCACACTGAGGTGTTATGGCTGCGTTTACATAACTGTCAATATGGGTGGTTGGAATACTTGTGGGCCTGACACCAATTTGAGCGCACCACTGAAAACCGCTAGTCTGTAAACTGATAAGGGAGAAGGAGCGAGCATAACATTTCTAATCACCCTCGGTTGTGGATTCTCAAGGGCAGCGAAGTCGTTTTGGCCGAGGGTGTCGCATCTGAATGGCGTATTCTGCATGTGACCTACAGAAACCATTTGACCATTTGCGGAAAGAAGGTGGGATCAAATCGACAAAACGCCCTCCGCGATAGGCCCAATTGTTAGCTTTTCGCTGCTTTCTCGACCAATAAGAATTGAACAAGTTAAACACCAATCAAACGCGGACTAGAAGCGGTAAATAATGATGTGAACGTTAGGAAGGAACTGCGGTCCGTATCCAAAAAGGATATCAATTCACTAATAAAGAGACTAGCGAACTTGTGTTTGAAGACAAGCACCAATTTATAAGGGCAGTGAAAGTTTGCGACAACAACCTGGTGCACAAATTTTGCTGGAGTTTACCGTCCCTCTGCCAAAAATCGAACGATCTCGCCGTTACGGAACTTAGTGCAGAAGGGGCAAAAATGCAACGTAAATTTGTAAGGACGCGGCGTTTCCTTATTGACTACGGTTAATGATAAAGCTAGCAAATGGAAACCTTGGCACTGATATATGTCACTGACATTCGGCTAAGACTCGAGCGAACAAAGCCACGTTATATTGGGTCAATAGACTCCTGCGTGGTAACCGAAATTGGGGTACGTGTAATGCACGACATGATCGTCATACTTCACAGAGTCCCCGGAATCAGGAATCTACTGTATCCCGTTCAAAAAATGTGCAAGTGACAAACATTCGGCTCCATAAACCTGCGAACATTAGAATAGTGTCGCCCCAATTTGCTCTAACCCACTTCGACAGCGATAACAAAGTACGAGCAGTAAAAATGTTATTTTTTCGGAACACCGCATTGTTATATGGCAGAAGAGCAACAGTCAAAACAAACCATAGCACTGGAAACACCGGACTGAGTTAGCCAATGAGAGAGCAGTGACATAAAACACCAATCAGACGCACTTAACGAGGAGTAATCGAGAGTGTAAATCGCGTGGCGGAAACCGTGGTTGGCCACCAGAAACGATAACTGTTAATGGTCAATAAGACAATCAAGGTGATACGTTAAAACAAAGATGAAAGCGTTTCACTAATCCTGTGTTGAGTCTCTGTTACAGGTTTGCACGTTTCACGTATAGTGTGATGTCAACGCACTGGCTAATTTCGTCCGCAATTTTTCCCTGAGTAGAGTACCAATAACCATTTGATTTCCTACGTCAACCAGTTTGAGCAAACGAGATGGAAGGTGGTTAAGCAGCAAGTAAACATTTCATGCTGGAAGTCTGTACGTGTGAAATACTATGAGGAAAGCGATCTCTTACTGATACGAGCGGTATCCATCATATTTAAGTCAGCATCGTGCACCCCATGATGCACCGGCATTTACCGACCAATCGAGATTAGAGCGCATCATCAAAGCTTGGCGCTTGCTGCTGCAACAAGTGGCCCCTGCTCCCTTGTGCTGTTTAAGGTAAACCTTACTTCTAGACTACAACCCGCATCTGCATTGAATTGGTCCTCCTTCTTCCATCTTTTGTTGCAGGGATTGCAAGGACCTCCTGGTACTTTTGGACCAAAAGGAAACACTGGCAAAATGGTGAGATTATGCTGAGTTCTTTGACATTTATGTTTTGGTTGTGCCGTTTTCCTCAAAGGGATGAGAGGAAATTTTTCCGACTACTCATGCGTTGTTACCGTACACTAAGTATTGATGTGTCAGGGACGCAAAAGTAAAAAGCGCATACTTGTTACTCACGTGCCTGTGAGAAATAGTTGTATCTCCACATAGCGCCCCTCTATTGCAATTGATTGTTGACAGCGATGTGTGATCATATCCTGTATTCTATTTACAAACGCTTTTTTCGTCAATGCAACAGGGTCCCACGGGATTGCTGGGGCAGATTGGTGAACCCGGCGAAAAAGGCGTGACGGGAAACCCGGGGACAGTGGGACCCACCGGGCCTAAGGGTGAACAAGGCTCAGTTGGGGATCCTGGCCCACCAGGAAAACAGGGCGAACGAGGGTCTGCTGGCGAAATCGGTCCCCCCGGACCACGAGGACCGGCAGGTGATGATGGGGAACCCGGACCTCAGGGACGCCAAGGCTCTCCTGGACCTCAAGGACCTCGAGGTAAGTTAGACTCACCTGTCTTGAGCGCGAATGTCTTCGTTACACTATAATGCGGCTCAAGTAAATGATTTCGGCTTTGCTCTGATTTTCAAATGGATTTTTGTTCTAATGGGTGGTGTTGGCTACTATCACTCCGATGCTTTTGCTATTGGCCTAAGTTCAACACCCAAATAGAAACTGGATTTCGCGTTTGTCTAACAACAGTAGCAACAACTGTGTAAGCAACCACTTTATAACTTTACCGGGCACGGTAGTCAAGATTCGAGACTGCGGCCTGACATAGTTCCAGTTATTGAGGCGGTGATACCTGGCGCGCCTGCAGTGCGTCCACAAACGTACTCTATTTGTACTTTTACTAAATTCGTGCTGAACTTGAAGACAATACGTTTTATTTTCCTCTTTCTGCTGTCTGATGGGCCAGATCGCGGCCGCACTTAGGATTTAACTGTACGGGTGGTCGTATCCTGCATGTGTGACGTCTGTTCTTAACTGATACGTCAATTATGGATGCGCTTGAAGCGGATGTGGACAAGAGGCTTACTCACTCGCTAAGGCCACCACAAGTACCCATCTCCAGAGATTTAATTGTTGCTTAGGGGTACATGGTTCTTAGTATTCGTTACAGCGTCATACTCAAATCGTTTGGGTAGAACACCATAACATCTCGACTCAGAAAGTCAGCACATGCTCTGAAACACACCGTACGGCTGTTTCGTTCTTTCTGGAATCGTCAGTATTGGGCATCCCGTCGTGCTCGTGTAGGGCTTGAATCCGCAACTCCACTGTTACTAATCTGTAGTTGAAATTATTGAGCGGCGCTATATCACCTCCAAACGGTCGTTGCCGTCCCCCGTAGCTCAATGCTGACCATTCCGGAAGGGAGGAAACGGCCGTACTGTGTCCACCAGGGCGCGTGATGGCGCTACTACTCAATGAACAAAGAATTTATCCGGGTTAAGGAGCGTTGCTTTACAAGTCCCATTGGTTAGTTGGTGGGAATATTGAAATAATACTGCTGATACTAACGATAATAGTAAAACAGTTAGTACTTTAAATATGAAACACAGGACTTATCGTTTGCTCCGCCGTAGTCCTGCAATCCGCTTAGATTCAAAGCACCCACAGTTAACATCAAATAATTCCATGGTAAACTCCAGGTGTAGGATGGAGAAGTAGTGCTAAGTGACAAAGTGTAACTGGATGAGTGCGTTATCCAACCGTCTTTTAAATACTGTTAGTGTCGGTGCAGTGACAACCGATACTGGGAGAGAATTTCACGGGTGACAGACATGGATGGAAAAAAATTTCTGCGGCACTCCAGGCGGCTGAATTGTACAGCAAGTTTCAATGGGTGGCCCCTCAGGGTTGTATTGGTGCTGAGTTGCAGTACAGGGCGGCACACATGATGTGGGTCTCGCAGAATCAAGTATACCATAATCAGGTCGTCTCGTAGTCTGCGATAGCTTCCACTGAACACCCCCAATCGTTGCAGCCTCTCCTGGTAGGAACGATTGCGCATTCCGATTACGTTCTTAGATTCCCGACGTTGTGGCTGCTCCAGTGCATTAAAGTGTGTTTCAGCCATGGATGCCAGGTGTGGATTGCGTATTCGACATGGGGGCGAACATACGCACTGAGCATTTGTCGAAATATGGAGCTGTTTATTTGTCCAAACGCCCGCCGCAACTGCCCGACATGGTGATTTCCAGTCTTTGAGAATTTTTAGATTGCCTGGAGCAACCCAAGTCATCTTGAACCAGGACACCTAAGGCACGTTTGACAGCTGCTTGTTGCAGTATATTCGTTCCGAGCCGGTATGAGTAACTGCTCTGATGTCGAATGGAACCACCTTACATTTACCCATGAAATGCAGTAAGTTTTGAGTTGACCATTGATACAACCTCTCTAGGTCACTCTGAAGCAGATGCTGGTCGGCGTTCGCCTGGATCCGACGCCAAATCTTGTTATCGTCGACAAACATTAGGGAGTTTGAAGCGATTCCCTGTGCAAGGTCACTAATAAGCACTAAAAACAAAAGTGGACCTAGAACTGAGCCTTGCGGTACACCACACTCGAGTTGTATGGGATCTGATAAAGAGCTCCGAACACTGACCACTAATTGCCGTTTAAGTAGAAGGTTGGCAATCCAGTCTAGATGTGGTGAGTTTCTACCTGCACTATTCCACTCCTCCACTATTCCCCTGTTCTCAAGATGTGGATGTTGACCTAGGACCCAACCACAGGCCGCCGTATGTATCGGTGTGGTTCTCCCTGTATGAGGAATGTGGGCCGGTCCCGAATCGAACCTTATACCGCATACTCCTTTGTCAACTCCATACAAACTGTTTTGGATATGGTGTGCGGGGCTTGATCTATGTGCGATGCGATCTATCTGACCACGATCTCCCTGTGGGCACACTCGTTCAATGGCTACATGTAGCCGCAAAGCTGATAAATCGTTGGACGGATTATCCTTCTTTGTCAAAAAGTCCGGAACGATATCAGCAAGTGTAGGATCACAAATAGACTTCCGTATAATTCACTTGTGGTCAACCTATCTACAGCATTAATTAAGGCAACAACCTTGATTATTTGAAACATGACTTATTCACACCCAATCTTCGGTCAGTTGTGGTAAAAATTTTAACGCATTTTATCATAGACTAGTAATAATTTTATAATAACCTTTTTTCATGATTTCAAACATGAAAATCGGATGACGTAGATCGTGAATTCTTCTCAATCACAAAAACCTGCAACCTTGGAACAAAAGACCGAGTACTTAAACAACATGGAGACAATCTTGTCTGGCAGCACGATATGCAAGCCGGATACCAGTTTCGACACTGTCCGCTTAGTGGAAAAGCAGTTACATCGGGAATTGTAGATCCTCAGGCTCCATGGATTCATCTCTGATGACGAATATAAAGCGTTTCGACCTGTGGGTACCCATACCACGAACGTTTGTTTTCCTCTAGGTGCATAAAACAGGAGTGCTCATGAGACCAGTCATCTCCATGGTTAATTCATCTTACCACGTCCTTTCCAACTGGCCGAACAACGTGCTGGAACCCATAAGAGCCACTTCAAAGCAAAACGCTAACAAACACTTTTGTACTACTCGCAAGTAGCAGGATTTTAGTTATACTTTTAAGGTATTCATCCCAGTAGTTTCCAAGCTACATAGCACAGCCTAGTCCGGAAAAGCACCTGACGATGTTATCCTAAATGGGTCCAAGTACTTAGATAAGATGGAAATGATATTGTCCGACAGCATAAAGTTCAAGCCAAATGCTAGTTTCGACACCGTCCGCTTAGTGGCAAAGCAGTTATATCGTGAATTGCAAATCCTCAGCCTCCATAGATTCATCTCTGATGACGAATATAAGGCGTTGCGACCTGTGGGTACCCATACTCCACAAATGTATGGACTCCCTAAAGTGGATAAAGCAGGAATGCCGATGAGGCCAATCAGCTTTAAGGTTAATTCATCTTACCACGCCATTGCCAACTGGCTGAACAGCATGCTGAAACCCATAAGCAAATACATACGAAGCAATACGGAATAATTTTGAACCACTTCCTTGTTTGGAATGTCTTAATTTAACCGAAAAGCGAATGGGCTCTTTTGATGTTCCATCTCTTTTCACCAACCTCTTTGAATGAGACTGTTGATGACTTATGCGATTTTAAATCAATACACAACGTTCGACTACGGCTTCCTACGGAATTGTTGAAGAACATGATTCTTTCGTGCACACAAAACATTGTGTTAATTTTCAGGGAACGTTTATCGACAGATTGATGTTGTGGTGATGGGCAGCCCACCAGGTCCGTTATTGGTAGATATATTCATGGGTATGATAGAAGAAAAGACAGGTTACATCATTCGCTCCGCCATTCTATACAGGCGTTATGTTGACGACATGCTAAGCATGGACTCCGAGGTGAACATCGCGCATACGACGGTGGCGCTGAACCATATGCATCCAGACCCTACCGTAACGCGTGGCGATGAGCAAGACAATTGCTTTCCGTATCTAGACGTGCTGATTACACGACGGCCACACGCTTTTAGCAGGTCTGTCTCCAGAAAGCCGATTTGGACTGGCCAATAGTTACATTTTACGAGTTTCCCGCCGATCCAACCCAAACGCTGTCTTGTGTGCATACTCTTTTATCCGGCCCACATAATCTGCACCCCAGCCACAATAGAAGCTGAAACGAACTTGCTGTCCAACGCGCCGCAATCAAACAGTTATTCTTTAAAGTGTATTGAGCGCCACAGTAAAATAAACAAGCACCATCGTGTGAGCATAGTCCCAAGGAAGCCCATTCTCATTGAGCTGCATTTCTTAGGTGACAATATGATGAAGATCGTCAAGGAATGCACAAATGTCCCACTGAAAAGAGCGTACAACACGGCGGAAGTGCGGCTGCTTATCTGGATTAGACCGATTAAGACACCGATGACAAGACATTAAATATCCAACTGTCTATGCCAACTCACCTGTAGCTGTGGTGACTTCTACGTCGGGCGCACTGACCAAAGTCTATGTGTCAGAATCAATGAACAAGTCCCAAAGGGGTTACGCAGCCGCACGGGATCTGTGAGCAGTGAAATAGTTGACTCGGGAAACCGATTTACCTCAGCTGTCGCTAGGCACTTGTTGACTACTGGTAACCGAGGCAATCCTGATGAGTCGTTCACAGTCTTAATGCGCGATCAGCGGCACGAAATCCGTAGGCTAACGGAAACCATCATTCTCGATCGCTGTCCATTCAAAAACAGCCGATAGCGGCTCTCACCCTACCGTGATAGCCCATGCGTTTTGTTATCTATGATCACCGTTTGTTTATGTCGGAATGTTGCATATTTTTCTAATTGATAAGAACGCACGAAATGACGGTGTCACCTCACAATCTACGTCTTCTGAATTTTATGTTTGAAATTTTATACTAGTCTCACAACAACATTCGCCTTACTTTCTACTGAGCCTCATGATTCTCTTCCCGAAGCGGTTGGATGTATTTTAGTCCTTTTCCACATAAAAGTATTTGGATGGGTAGAATTCCATGGGAGGCACATTCTTTGTAGATGGACAAAATGCACGGTTCAGTTGCATACGAAATACGCTTATCGGGATCCATATTTCTTATTTGTTCATCCAACTGCATCACTTAGCACCGGCATACTCCAAGGTTGTAAAAAGCATAGTTGTTTGAACATAATATTGTTGCACAAGGGAACAAAGTAGCATCACGCCTAAAGGAAACAACCCAATGAAAACTGGTTCAGACCTCACGGTTCTCGTTGAGTATCGACGGATTGTATAAGTACTCATGATCTTCAAACTAAGCAGGAGGAACTAACGCGCACAGTTTACCGCTTTGCATTGCAGTTAAGGCGTGACTGGTCTTTCTAACTGATGATTATTTATTTATTTCTCCTACTCACTTAGGTCCACGAGGCCCAATTGGTCAACCAGGAGATCCGGGACCCATGGGGAGACCTGGCCCACAGGGTCAGGTCAAGGTTGCCAATGCACCGGAACCCGGTTTCCGGAGGCGGCGAAGAGCTGTCACTCCCAGTCCAGGTTAGTGATGTGCCCTCGGCGAATTATTTCTGTTTCCAATGCTAACCGTTGTTTCATGTAATATTACTGCATTTTTTCAGTCTTTGGAAGTGAAGTATTTTGTCGGTGCGAATCTTGCGAGACACAAGCCATAACACTCACCAGCCTTGATGTGACCAATTTGTTAAAACAGACTCGAGAATGGAACGGGGGCATCCATGAATCGCTTTTCGCTTGCAGGGCTATTGTCCATATACATGGAGTTAACGGCATCCCGTTCTGTCACTGTCGCATCCACTGGGTCAGCCACAGGATGCCTGCGCCTACAGAAGGACCATGGATGGCTTGTGCTGCACCGCACACAGCTCCATCAACACACCCCATATCCGATGCACACCCTAAAGAATACGAAGGAATACCGGAAGGCATGTGGATGGGAGCCAGGTTTCATCAACGGATCCGACCCACACTCCTTCAACATACACAGCAGCAGCATTCCTGTCTATCTAATTTAGGATGTATGCGTACCAGATGTACAAAAGGCGGTGGCTGGGCCGTAGCCCGCTCCACGCTGCATGCATGGAACCACTTTTGGAGCCTAGAACCGCAATGAGGACCGTGCATCCCGTCCCCTCCAGCAACGACCAACTGTCTTCTGGAACCATGTACATTTAAATGTATATAAATATGCACATAAATCTATACAGATATAATAATAAATACATAGGCCAATTTAACACCTGGCTAATAGTAGTATACTTGGCAGAGTAGCACAACATATGAGCAAACACAGAGAAGATCCGCCACCACCAGCACCTGTAAAATTACAATCACGTGAGCAAAATCTCGTCACGTGTCTACAATTGGACGCGTGATCTTTCCGTGTCCGAGAGTTTCCTACCAGGCCCCCAGCCCGGGAGTCAAGAGTATCCGACCAAGGCCAGCTTTGATGTTAACGCCTCCATACTCTGAGCTCCAGTCATGCCTTGACCATCTTGCTTTCGTTTTCGGCCTACTTCTGCGCGCACAGAGGGCACGGTGAGGTAAACGCTGAACAGGCATGCGAATCACGTGTCCAAACCCCCGTAGGCTGTTCGGTGAAACCATGCAGCTCAGCGGACGGTAGTCTGTTAAATTTCAAGCTCCTCTGACGAACATCGTCATTGCTAATGGGATGTCGTCATCGTACACCAGCAATGTTCTGAGGGTAGCGGCGATCAGAAACCGACATTCTCTGGACATCTTTTGTGCAAACAGGGCAAGTCTCGCAACTATGAAGCATCACCGCTCTCAATGTAGCATTATAGCCGCAGCTTTTAAGAGATGCTTAGATCGTGTCTACGCCACAGATGGCGGAGATTAGTAAAACCAACGAGACCTCATCCGTCAAACCGTTGGCACTGATACATCTTCCGAGGTAACCGAACTTGCTTGCCAGTTACAAAGGATAACGAAGTGGTGAGACGAGGAGTGGCTCCTGCCCAATCCTAATGGTGTCCACGAGCGTGGCTGAACGCGGATTCTTTCATGTTCGTTTGATTTCGACGATAGTGACGCGTGTTAGACCTATAAGTAAGCCACAATGCACTGGGGGAGTTCTTACCCAAATATTAGGAATTACAGAGGAGAAGTAGGGGAGTTGAGTGGTATAGGTAGAAATACATCACATCTAGACTCACTCAGACAGCCGTCACATGCCCGGAAATGCACTGTACGCACGTTTCATCCTTTCGGGATCGTCAGCAGTACGCATTCCATCGGACCGTGGTAAGGCTGGA